CCCAGTACGCATATCATCCTTTGAAAAACCACCCCGATAGTGGAAAACTTCGCGTTGGTGATTTCTTATGGATGCAATTCGGCTCGCTTAAGTGATCTAGTACAGTTATAGTTCAATGTTGAGTACGCTAGAGGTCACAGTAAATTTATAACTTACTCGTGAGAAAACAATCGTCTTTTTAGCTTTAAATAATGTGGATCATTCGAAATATTCTACAAAATAAAGGCTTGCTGCATATCGCATAGGTGACTGGATTTCCCATAGTTAATGGTGTATAATCGGCAAACGTTAGGACTGAAGGATACGCGTATTTCTAGCTTATTAGCTGTTGTCAGCTGCAGTTTCCCGACTCCAGTATAGCCACAGAAACTGCCGCTACACTCGAGTTTCGAACTCGCGACCACTGAGCCATATTAGAAGGGTAGCCATTCTGATAGCGCAAGTACTAGTTAAAAGTCCAGCAATGCATGTTGCGCCACATTCTGCCACTGAATGGTCCAGCTGCGAACAGATTGGCTCACTAGTGGGCCTTTCAGTATTCTCCATGTGCTCTCTAACGGATAATCCAGTTCTGATATCTCCGCATGTTTAATTTACTCAGAAATTAAGGGACTAACATGGTGTAACGCACAGGAAATGAAAAGGTGTAGGCTCGCTTTGAAAGGGGCCAAGCATATTTTTGTTTAAATCCACCTACCTCATTGAGGTAATCGCTTAACATTCCCACACTGTCGAAAGCAGCCAGCAGCTTAAATACGTTGCTTGATTTTTCATACTGACAGCACACATGTCTTGACTTTTAGCTAGTGCCTATGCTGTGGTGAACCACACAACATGTGTATACTACCGGCTGCCTTTTAAAAATTTCCAAATGTTATGCGCGTTCCAGCTCAAATAGTAATGGTTGCAAACATTCCCATTGAAATATTCAAGAGGTAAGTTGGTTTTTATTTATACCGTTATTTAACTAGGTTAGATATGCGGCTAAGTAGAAAGAAAATCGTGCGGGTTTCGGGGTGTTCGAGGAAACAAAATTGCGGTCAATAATCTGATAGCGTCAGGCGTTACCGGCAGCAAGGAAAGGTACTTCCTTGCAGACGTCTAAATTGGCGGACTTGGGTCATGGTAATTGCGACACCTTTACGAAGTTGCCTTAGGCGTACAACACTGGTTTGCGTAACCTGATAACAGCCGCTTCTGCCGTAGCCAACAAATGCTGCCCAGAAAATTTTTAATAGCTCGAAGGGACCTTGTAAATCATTTGGAAACCCTCTCTGGCATCAAAGCGATTATTTGAGCCTACAATGTGCACCAGAATAGAGCTATGTTTGGCCTTTATTTGGCCTTTTCTTAACCACACTGGAAGGTGTGCTCGTAGTCTTTTGGCCTAAATCTATCTATTTCATTGGGATAATCGCGTAATAGTCATGCACTGTCAACAGCAGCCAGAGGTTTGCATACGTTGCTTGATTTTCCATACTGACAGCACATATGTCTGGACTTATAGCCAGTGCCTGTGCTATCGGTATGATACATCGCACAACATGTGTAAACTACAGGCTGCCTCTTAGCAGTTTCTAAATTTTATGCACTTTCCGGCTCAACAATGTATGGCTGCGAACATTCCCATTGAAATATTCAAAAGCTAAGTTAACAAGCATAAATTAGCTTTGCTTTCATATCGTTATTTAACAAAGTTAAATATGTGGGTAAGTAGAAAAAGAATTGTCCAGTTGTCAGGTTGTCAGGTTGTTTGAGGAAACAAAATTGCGATCACTAATCTAATAGTGTCAGGCGATACCGGCAGTAGAGAAACGTAATTCACCGCAGACGTCCAAATTGGCGGCTTTCGGGCATGAGTTATTTTGGAAGCTTAAGATCCGCTTACGCAACCAGATTGCAGCCGCTTCTGTCGTAGCCAAGAAATGCTTTCCATAATTTTTTAACTAGCTCGAGAGGACCCTGTAAATCACTTAGAAAGCCTCTCTTGCATCAACACAATGAACTGAGCGTACAATGTGCACCAGAATGGAGCTATGTTTGGCCTTTATTTGGCCTGACTTCATTATGCTGGAAGGTGTTCTCGTATTCCCTTGGACAAACGCTTAT